CGCTGCACCACTCACACTGCTTGTCCCCACCCACCCTCACCCTCACCCTAACCATCACCCCACGCTGCACCACTCACACTGCTTGTCCCCACCCACCCTCACCCTAACCCTAACCCTCACCCTAACCATCACCCCACGCTGCACCACTCACACTGCTTGTCCCCACCCACCCTCACCCTAACCCTAACCCTCACCCTAACCATCACCCCACGCTGCACCACTCACACTGCTTGTCCCCACCCACCCTCACCCTCACCCTCACCCTAACCCCCACACTGCACCACTCACACTGCTTGTCCCCACCCACCCTCACCCTCACCCTAACCCTCACCCTAACCCTCATCCCCCCCCCCGCTGCACCACTTACACTGGTCGCACTCTTGCGGTCAGTTGTCCGGATCGCCTGTATTATGATGTCCAGCAGGGAAGGTACCACTTTACTGTCCACCATGGGGGAGACCAGTAGGTCCACCTCAAACCACACCGTCTCCTTGCACTGAAACGTGTCATAGCGGTGAAATATAGATAAATAAATATGACAATAATTGCAAAAAAACGTGCAAAACCAATAGTGCACCTAATTCACACGAAAGCGCATCTGTGTGACTGCATCTCTATTTTTAAATTGGCCGATATCTCGTGCGAAAATCAAAATGAGTAATCAAAATTCGAATCGTGCATGTGTTGGTCAATATAGCTATGTTCTAAGACATGTTAGCGTTACTCTAGACAGTTGCTGTTACTCAAGCAGTAACGGTAAGTGTCGTAAAAGTGGGGAAAACACAAGACTGGTCGAAAATAATGTTCGAAATGCTGCTTTAACCCCCTCCTACCTTGGCTATATTAACCTCCTTCTACCCTACCTTGGTAATGTTAACCCTCTCCTACCTTATATATTAACCCTCTCCTACCTTGGTGATGTTGACCTCCCTCTGTAACCCCTTCCCTCTCCTACCTTCACTATGTGACCTTCCCTCTCCTACCTTGGTGATGTTGACCTCCCTCTGTAACCCCTTCCCTCTCCTACCTTCACTATGTGACCTTCCCTCTCCTACCTTCACTATGTGACCTTCCCTCTCCTACCTTGGTGATGTTGACCTCCCTCTGTAACCCCTTCCCTCTCCTACCTTCACTATGTGACCTTCCCTCTCCTACCTTGAAGATGTGACCTTCCCTCT